CCTCCGGGGGGGGGGCACACAGGTGAAGAGGTGGTCCCCAACCCCGGACAGAGGCGCCACACGGAAAGGTGTCCAGTGCGGGCGGGTTCCACGGGAGGACACACAAGGCTGCGGGCGGCACATGCTCCGCGTCCCGATGCCCGCAGCTGCCCGCCTGCTCACTGCATCCTCAGCGTGGGGGTGGGTGGGGGGCGGGATCTCACATCCCTGAGCGGGCACAGGGCTCAAGGGGCCAGGACCCCTCCAAGGGCCCCACAGAGAGCCCACAAGGAGAAAGGAAGCTGTTGGCCACAACACCTGGTCCGAGGGCCGCCACCCCCCACCCCCCGTCACGGTGGGATGGGCGCGCGCCGGTGCCCACACAGGTGCCCAGTGACAAGGAAACACGCTGGGCTCACCCCCTCCCCCAGGCGGGTCAGCTGTCAGAATCCCTCTCCTCACGGGACGATGAGGAATGAAGACACACAGGCCAGGGCACACGGTCAGTCCCCGGCACAAGGGCGAGCCCCAGACCTGCCCTGTTGGAGGTCAGAGGTCACTGGGAGGAGGCCCGCCTGCGGATGCTGAGAGAGGACCGTGTCCCTGGCCCAGTGGATGGATTCCCGTCGGCCCTGCGGGTCCAGGAGGTGCGGGGTCTGGGAGCCCGGAGCTCAGGTCAGGCGTGGGCTCAGCCAGCGAGCGCCTTGCCCGCCGCCTCCCTGCACGCGTGCTGGACACCTGGGGCCTCCTGCCCCCCGCACCCCGTCACGGGCTTCCTGACGAGCGGAACCCAGGCCTGAGGGAAGCGAGGACTCACGCCCGCCCCGCGCGCCCTCTGCCTGTGGTCACGGGGCTCACAGTGAAGCCCCACCTGGATGGAGGGGCCCAGGCCTGCACGTCAGGGGACTTGTCTCAGGCAAACCTGTCCCGGCGGGTCTGCCGCTGACTGAACCCCAGAACACAGACTCCGTCTATGAACCCCGGGACCCAGACACCATCCACTAAACCCCAGAACACAGACTCCGTCCACTGAACCCCGGGACCCAGACCCCGTCCACTGAACCCCGGGACCCAGACACCATCCACTGAACCCCGGGACCCTGACACCATCCACTGAACCCCAGAACCCAGACTCCGTCCACTGAACCCCAGAACCCAGGCTCTGTCCACTGAACCCCAGAACCCAGGCTCTGTCCACTCAACCCCAGAACCCAGGCTCTGTCCACTCAACCCCAGAACCCAGGCTCTGTCCACTGAACCCCAGGACCCAGGCTCTGTCCACTGAACCCCAGAACCCAGGCTCTGTCCACTGAACCCCAGAACCCAGGCTCTGTCCACTGAACCCCAGAACCCAGGCTCTGTCCATTGAACCCCAGAACCCAGGCACTGTCCACTGAACCTCGGGACCCAGACTCCATCCACTGAACCCCAGGACCCAGGCTCTGTCCACTGAACCCCAGGACCCAGGCTCCGTCCACTGAACCCCAGGACCCAGACTCCGTCCACTGAACCCCGGGACCCAGACTCCATCCACTGAACCTCGGGACCCAGACTCCGTTCACTGAACCCCAGGACCCAGACTCCGTATACTGAACCTCCGTCCACACACCACCCAGACTCTGTTCACTGAACCCCAGGATCCAACACCCCTGCAGAACCCCGGGACCCAACACCCTGCAGAACCCTGGAATCCAACACTGTCCGCAGAACCCCGGGACCCAACGCTGTCCGCTGAGGGGCCCTGGCCCTGGGCCGTCCCACGTCCTGAGTCCCTGAGGCTGGAGGCGCAGCACCTTCCGGCTGGGCTGCAACCCGCCCCGGACATCTCCTGTGCCCACCGGACCCTGGCCCAGCACCAGGCTAGCCATGGCACCCTACACACAGTGTCCTCTCTGCCAGGAGCCCTGCCAGGGAGGGGCCCTGCCTGTCCCCAGCCACGCGCTTAGCGGCATCCTCCTCTTCTTGAGTCGCTCATCCCACAGGGACGGGCTGGGACCAGGCAGGGACAGCCCAGGCCCACAGCTCAGGAACTGGGGCCACAGAGGCGCGCTCTCTGGGGGGCTGGGGGGGGTCGGGGTGCAGCGGGGGAGAGCTGACCAGAGCTGAGTCGCCGTCCTTTGGGGGACGGTGGCCAACTCCCTCCCATGCCGTTTCAGGCCAGAGGTCCAGGAGCTGGACGGCACCGCGCCGTGCCCAGGCCTGGCCAGCGGGAAGCCGGAGGACGGCGAGGAGGAGGAGGAGGAGGAGCTGGAGGAGGAGGATGATGACAGCCTTGCGGGGAAGTCCCAGGACGACAACGTGTCCCCCGCACCCGAGCCCCAGGGTGCCTACGAGGACGAGGAGGACGAGGAGCCCCCCGCCTCCCTGGCTGTGGGCTTCGACCACACCCGAAGGTGGGTGCCGGGCTCCGGGCCACGGCCGGGCAGCTGAGAGAGCCGGGCCCAGCCAGGGAGGACTCACTCCCAAACCTGCAGCAAGCCTCCCCCTCCCTGCTGGCCCCTCCTCCCTGAGTGTCTCTACCACAGGGGCTTCTGCACTAGGCCAGGGAGAGCCCCGGCCTGGGGAGGGGGCCCGGCCCAGCCACTCACACTCACACCACATGCAAACATGCGCACGCACACTTGCAAACATGAAGACGTGCACATGCAGACACATGCATAGGCCTGTGTGTGTGTGCATGCACTAGCACATGTGCAAACACGCACATGTGCACACACAAGGTGCATATGTGTGCGTGCGTGCAAACACGTGTATGGACATATGCGTGCATGTACATACACTCGTGTGTGCATGCACATCGAGAGGCCTGGGAGCAGAGTAGAGGGAAAGGCACGGAGCGAGCTGGTCCAGCCGCAGAGCCACATGGTATCCGTCGCCTGGGGGTGCCATCCAGCGTCCCGCGGGCGCTGTGGTGCCAAGACTGAACCCCGTAGTTTTGGAAGTTGTGCCAACCAGACCCCCTTCCCCTGCCTCCCGAGTGCTGGCCACGCCCCTGGCAAAGGGCAGTGCCAGCTTCCAGGAGCCCCTGAGAGCTGAGGAGTCGCTCCACAGACAGCCACCCCCGCCCCGGGTCCTGGGACTGGGGTCCTGAGCCCCCCCAGCTGCCCAGACTCTTGGGAACCAAGGCCTCCCCTCTGTCCTTGTCCCTGGAAGCCTGGATGCCCCGCCTGCTACTTGCAACACGTGTGCGTGTACTTACCCGCTCCGTGGTCCTCTGTCCGTGCTTTCCTGCGTCCGTGTGGCTTCCGTCCTGGTGTCCGTGTGTCTGTGTGTCTGTCTTGTGCATGTGGCTCGTGGAGACCCGTGGCGTCACGTGTCCGTCGCGTGCATGCGGCGTCAGGGCTGAGGCCGCTGCTCACAGGCCTCTCCGGTTGGTGCAGGTGCGCTGAGCCGCCGGTGGGCGGTCTCTTAGCTTTGGAGCCGATGCCGACTTTTGGGAAGGGGCTGGACCTGCGCAGAGCAGCCGAGGAAGCGTTTGAAGTTAAAGATGTGCTTAATTCCACCCTAGACTCTGAGGCTTTAAAACAGACCCTGTACAGGCAGGCTAAGAACCAGGTAGGTACCCGCAGAGCCCTCCCACCTCCCCAGGCAAGGCAGGGCCAGCCTTACCTCTCGCATGGCCACCCCCTGGCCCGCCCGTGCCCATGGCATTGGCTAAAGAGACGCCCCAGCGACCGGCACATCCCTGCAGCAGCAGCGGGGAGGGAGGGTTGAGAGCAGAAGGACCTTTACAGGTCACTCAGGGACATGGAGGTCACTGCCTCTCATCCCCAGAAGGCGGTACCGCAAGCAGGTTCCCAGGTGAGGCTGCCCTGCCTCCGCCCTCTGTGACCTGCCAGAGTGACAGAGCCAGGTTCCCTCGTAGCCAGCTGCCTGCGGGGGCACAGGTCCGCGCTGGAGCCCTGACGGGGTCAGGGAGGACGCAGGCTTGGCCGGGGCCCGTTCCCGAGTGTAGCGGCCGCAGAACCCGCCTCCTGTCTGGAGTCCACAGGGTCTCAGTCAGCTCTGCAGCTCCCGAGTCTCAGCAAACCGTCTGTGTGTCTGTCTGTGTCTTTTTACTAATTCTGTCCAGTGTTGACTCCCCACCAGCCCGCCCTGCGGTGCTGTCACCTCGCACCCCGTGGCTCACGGCAGAAGGTGCCCTGGGACTGAGCACGCTCATGTCCTCATGCACCGCCCGTCCCCACGGGCGTCCCCTGGGCAGGGCCTGACTGTGGGCGGGGTCTTAGCGATGACCACCGGCACCTCCAGGGTCCCCACAGTGCCCACTTGCCCACGGGTTTGCAGGTCACCAGGTGGAGAAAAGGGGTGGAGGAGGTGACTGCAGGGGGAACACCCCAGGAGGCCAAGGGACCCCTCTGCCAGGGCCATGGCGTCCGAGCTCCCCTCTGCGGCCTCCCGTCTCCCTCATCCAGGCCTGGCTGGGGGAATCTGGCCTCCATGGGCCAGGCCCTGGCACCAGCCCTCTCTCCTCCCGTGTGGGTCTGAGTGGGCCAAGGCGGTGGAAGGCGGGAGGGGGCGAGGACGGAGCTGGCCGGGGTCCCACGGCTCACCTGCTGCCTATGTCGCGTGTCTTCCCCCGCCAGGCGTACGCAATGATGCTGTCCGTCTCCGAGGACCCTCCTCTCCGCGCCTCTGCCCAGAGCCCCCTGGATGCATGGCTGAGCATCACGGGACCCACACCCGAGGCTGGAGCCTTTAACCCCATCAACCACCTCTGACCGGCCCGGGGGGCTGGGGCTGGGGCTGGCGAGGTGACCTCGGGCCCCACATCGCGACAGAAATCCCATTCGCCCATGCATCCGACTGCTCCTCGGTGTCTGCCCCTGGTCTCACTCGCCCTTCCCAATGGAAACCCAGAAGCCGAAGTCCCTGAGGTCGTCGGGCCCACGTCTCTGAGAACCGGTCTCGAGGGCACCATCAGGACAGCCCGGTGCACGGCCGTGGGCACAGCGCACAGAGTGGCCCGGTGGCACAGCCCGGCGGACACCGGCGGCACTTCCTCCTGCACTGAAGCCGGGGCCGCTCGGGGCTGGAAGGAGAGGGCAGACCCGGTGTGCCCGGCGGAGGGGAGGCCCCCCACGATTTTTATAGTGAAAATGACGAGAACAGCCCTTTTGGTAACCTTATTGACGACAGAGTCTATTTAAGCATGTGGTTTTAATAACAGACAGTATTTTTTAAAAAAGAAATTGAAAAAGGACTTGCAAATTGTTTTGTAAAGTAATTTTGCATCGCTTGGGAACCTGAGCTTATCGGCAAAGCCACGCCCTCCCGGCCCGCTCCGGCTGCGTGCGGCCTCTGTACTGTAGCGAACGGGGAAGCTTTCTGTCCTCGACCCTTTGTAAAGCGGCGGGCCGGGCACCGGGCCACGCCTGTGAGCCAGTTCAGACTGCACCAAGGATTCTGAGACGTGTCCCAGGCCGCCCGAGGCTGGGACTGGGACATGTGCCTGTCATTGTGTGACATGTGATCCGTGCCCGTGGCCCGCAGGCAGCTCCTCCCTAGACCCCCAATTATGTGGGAAGGTCGGAGAGGTGGGCCGGACAGCTTGCGTTCCTCCCGGTCTGTCCTCGGCCACCGGGCCGGCCCCACCGCTGCTTTTCAGAAGGCA